AGATTTGCACAAAAAACCGTTTGGCACCATTTGAATAAGGCTTGAAACGAAAATAAAAGAAGCTCGATTTGTGGGTGCCACACGAGTTAGCGTAAAAAAACCTCATGAACAGAGTTTCCAACTGCGAATCGTTGCTGAATCACAACAAAATTGAGCCATCTCTGAGGCGGTGAATTAAAAGTGGATCCCTCATGACAACTTCATGCGAAAACGGCCTCAGTCGAAATGCGATGAGCCGGCGGTAACGATGGCCAAGCCAGGATTGACGACCAGGATTGACGGCCAGGATTGACAGCCAGGAAGGTTTTGCTTTGTATTTAATGGGATTGTCAGGAAATTATCTACTATGAGCTGCTCCCATACCGCAAAACTATTAAGTCGGAACTATACTGTCAACAATTGGACAGTCTGAAGGAAGCCATCAACCAGAAGAGGCCAGCTTTGGCTAATAGCAGAGGAATTGTGTTCCATCAGGACAACGGCAGGCAACACACACATTGATAGTGGCTCGCCAGAAGCTCCATGTGCTTATCTGGGAAGTTCTCATACATCCACCTTATAGTCCGGCCCTAGTACCAAGTGATTACCACCTGTTTCTGTCCATGGTGAACAATTTTGCTGGTGAAAAATTTGCTTCAAGAGAGGCTTGTGAAAATCAATTGGCTCAATTTTTTGCCAATAGGAACGAGAGCTTCTACGAGAAAGATATAATGAAATTAATTTTAAAATGGCAACAAGTTAGCATTCTAACTATGGTAATTAAAGCCTTCAATTTCATGCAAAAGTAACGGGTTTCTTTTTACTACACCTAATTGCAATTGACGTAGTCTTTGCTGATGTCGACACTGAATATGGTGGCGTCTAGTATAACATTTTGCATGTACACTTTTATTTTCCTCAAGTCATGCCAAAAAAAATTTCAAAAGAATATATTTTAAATAGACATACAAAGGTGTTTTTTTTCAAAAGAATTTTTTAAGTTCTTTTAAGCCGTTAATAGAAATTTTTTTAAGTAGTTATACATATTCTTTTTCTTGAGGCGTTCCTAGACAATTTTTCAAGATTTTAAGTGAAATAAATGTGTGACGAAACATTTCCAGCTATTTTTTTTTAGCAAAAAAAAAAAAATAAATGCCTTTGGGTCCCCAGTAAGCGACGTTTTGCAGAATATAATTGCATTTACTATTCGGGCCTCCATTTGATTGCTTCAATGTTAATTTTCCTCTTTGAATTCATAAATAGAGTACAATTTGAAATTTGTCTTTACAGCCAGTTGCCGTGTTGAAAAATCTCCTTGTTTTGTTGACTAAAACACGGTGATGACACCTACATAACAGAGCGAAATAACATGCGAGGCGATCGTCTGAAAGCTATCCATTAGAATGCTTGATTGCAGTACAGCGGCATCTATTATTTATTTCATTAGCTTTTCCACCCTCTAAAAATTCATACAAAATGTTTATCATACCCACGAATTACATATAAATTTTACATGCAGGGAATTTTCGACTTCATTCGTCCTCCAAGTCGATAAGACTTGTGATAATGTGTGTCAAGTTTTACAATAAATTTTCATGTAATTTTTAATTTCATTTTAATTTTAATTTCCATCACGCATTTTGTTGTCAATTGCAATTTCATTTCATATAATTTCAGAAATTAAAATTTCAATATTTGACTGTACTTATTTATCTACCATTTGATTTCAGCAATTCAAATTCCAATTTTTCGTGCTGCACTAGAAATTTTAATTTGTCTTGGAATTGATGTCAAAGGATTTCAGTATGGCCAAAGAAAATTTTTGATATAAGCGAGTCTTTGCGAATTAAATAAATCAATAATTTTTAAATGAACCGGATTTTCATTGTTTTTTTATTTTCAATAAATACCTGCCACTTCTGAAACACATATCTAACCAATTAATTTTTCTTAATTATATTTTAATATTGAAAGGTTGGCCAATAATCTTATTTTCATAAATTAAAGATTATTAGATTTTTTTGTTTGATTATATTTTCTTTTCTTAAGTTTTTATTTAAAATTATTATTTTTATTTATTGTAGATATTTACCGTAATGGTCCCACAAGAATACTAAAAATTTTTTTGCTTATTGTTAGTAACAGTTTTGTCTGTTCTCAATCCACGTTGCTCCACAACAATTTAGAGTGTTCCGGTACCTCATGTGTTCCTCCACTGCTTTAGACAACACTTGAAAGCGCTGAAATGTCTGAGCCAGGACATATGACTATTCATTCCTTTCTACATCCGTTTGACTCAAGACCCCAGTGATACCATAGGCTGTTAATTGCCTTTTTTGTATATTCCTACTCATTCGGACTTTGTCTTGAAACACTCAATTGCCTTAATGGCCGGTTTGATTGTATACAAAAACATATTTCTTTTTTTTTTTGAGAAGCTACACCCACCTGGCTATTTGCTAGCTAAATTTTAGGACATGATATCGGTGTGCTCCTGATGCTGATTCATTATATTTATAGTTCAAAGACCTTTTAAAGAAATCTATTAAAAAATTATCTTGAATAAAGCTAAATATGTTGAAACTATCTTAATTCTTGCGTCGAATTTTATTGGATTCCATTTAATATGTAATTCATTGTCAGCGCTTTGGTACACTCACGATCAATGAAATAGACTCAACGCTTCTTGTATTTTTTAAGGAAGAGACATAATTGTCTAACAGAAGAATAGTAGCAGAAGAATAGCAGAAAAAATCATGAAAATAATATGAAAATCCTTAATAGACAAGCAGTTAAAATTATGATTTGAAGGCATCGTAGCTACCGTAAGCCTAGTGATAAGAACGGCTAAACAACTGAAAAGTTTAAGAACAAAAAAAAAGTCACTGCTAACAGCTGTTCACAAAAAAGCGCGCTTACTTTGCTCGCAGTCATGAATGGCACAAGATTGTCGCTTTCAGATGAAATGTGCTTTACTTTGGATGAACCTGACGATTTCAATGATTAATTCCACGATATAAGAAAGAAAAAACTAAATTTGATCAGTCACCATAGACGTGAACATGATGGCATAATGGTAGGATGGGCTATATCTTACTCTGACACATGAGATATTGAGTTAGTTTCTTCCCAAATGAATGCTACGCGCTACATGGAGCTACTGCAAAGGACATTTCCTCATTTTATCAACATTTTTGCGTCTTTAACTTGGACTTTTCAGTCAGCAAGATAACGTTCGTGTAGTAAAAATGTGGGTCAGAATGTTCCTTTAATGAAGTGGTCATCTTACTCTCCCGAACTCAATATATATAGTATGTATAGTGATATCTCGCGAGAAAGGTTTAAGAAGGGGAACGAAAATTTGAAAATTTTCAATGGCTAAAAACTGACATTAAGTTTGCCTGTAGCGAGTTTCCATTAAACTAATTGAAATCGTCTTACGATTCGCTTCCCAACCGTATTTTCGAAGGTACCCTGTACCTATCATGCTTAGCTAAATTAAAAGTTTCTCGATAGCAAAACGTATCTTCATTATTGAACAATATTTAAAAAACAATGAAAGCTTGGCGGCCATAGTTCGAAACTTTCGTACACAATATGGTCGCAGTAGTGTTTAAACTTCGTCCACTGTGAAAGAGTAATTGAAAAATTCCGGGAGATAGGATATCTCTTAGATACACCAAACACTCTGGTCGTCTAAAAAGAGTATCGATGACCATCACAGAACCACATATTCTGCGTCGTTTACGAGAATTTAAAATTTTAAGTTGTCTACAGCTATTCTTTAAAGTTCTGTGTCTACGTGCTCACAAAATTCAATGAAATCAACAATTGAAGCCTGATGATCATGCATTGTGAAGATAATTTGTTGATGGGATTATTGAGCATCCAGAAATGATTACTCAATGGAAAAGCGGTGAAGCACATTTTCAGCTTGAGGGGTTGTTAATTGCGAAAATTGTCGCTTTAGGATTCAGAGAACACACATGTGATTGTTGAAAAACAAATCCACATACCCAAGGTGTCACTGTTTGGTGTGGATTTTGGGCTGGAGGTATAATTGGAGCATATATCATATATCAAATATAAATATATATATATAATATATTATAATAATATATATTATATATATATATATATATATATTTGGCGCTTGTAACCGGTGAAGCTATTTTTGGCCGAGCTCCTCCTGCAATTTCTGATTTTGCGTCTTTATGTTTTTCTAACAAATGGAAGGACCTACAATTAATACTAAGCCCCCTTTTTAAGTCTACAAAGCAGACTATAATGAAAATCTATACTGAAGTTTGGAAAAAATATTTATTTAATTTAGTCTTAAGCTCTTGGTCTATTTTTTGACTGATAAAAAAAAGTGTAAAATTAATAAAAATAAAAAAAGAATATAAGATTTTGTACTTTTGTTTAAGAATCGATTTTTGTGTAATAGAAAAATTTCGGTTTTTATATTTCGTTTATAGTTTCGTTTTTATCATAAAATTTTCAAAAAAAAAAAAAAAAAGAAAAAACCCTGAGTCTATTTCATTGTTCGGGAGAAGAATATAGTGTGCGATTTGAAACATATTGTTTTATACACTCGTATTTATGATTTTCATTTAATTTTATTGTTCGTTTCTTTAGCTGTTTTATTGCGCTCTTTTTTTTTGTTTCATAAAACTATTTTGATCTATTTCTGTAATTTACATATACTCTTTGTTGCTGCTGTTTTTGCTGTTGTTGCTGTTTGTGTTGTTGTTTCTGTTGTTGCTTTTCATTATACTACTAAATATTACTTTGCAATCATTAAGTTCGACTTGGAATTTGAATATTTTTCCATTTAATTCTTAATATTATACACATACATACATACATATAAATACTAGTACATACAATGGTATTTGTTTTGATGCGTTTGCTATTGTTGTTTGTTGCTGTTGTTTTCTATATTTCATTTTTAAACTATTCATTATTAAAATTACTTACATACATACATACAGTTGATTATTTTTTTTTTGTTTGTTTGTTTGCATGTATCGGTTTGATGCTTTCTTTGTTAACTTATTGCTATGAATCCTCATACAGCAGCGGCCGGCCATTCCAACCGCCTGTGATGATGGCACCCTTACTCGCTTTGCCAACCTCATCCGCGCATACATACATATACACATACATATACGTGTGTTATTAGCATTTTGTGCTCATTTCCAACTAAAATTTATTGCTTCCTGCATTCAATAGAGATATTGGCTGTTCGGCTAGCTGCAGGGTCGTTGGTTGAGGTTGGTTGGCTGATTGGCTGCTTGGCAGGTGGCATCATTCTTCTTCTTCATTTCGTTTTTAGCTCAACTTTTCTGCAAAGCGCTTGAAATACTTTTTTCCTTCTTTTTGTTGTGTTTTTCGTTTACGTTTTCGTGTTTTGCTTTGGTGGTTTTACTGTTTTTTCGTTTTGTTTTGTTGGTGGTATTGGCGCGTTTGTAGTAGAGTTGCAGGCGGTGGTTATTTGGTTCTTTTGTGGCACCTTACAGCACCGTCTCCATTTCCGCAATTTCCGTTTTGTAAGACCTTAATGAATATAATTTATTATAAGAATTCAAGAAAAATGCGAAATAAAGGTTATAAGGTAAAATTCAAAATGGAAAACGCAAAACGCAAATGGCTTAGCCATATTGGTTACTATATGTACAAGTGTGGGTTGAGTACATGCGGGCATTGTGAGTTTGGTGGTTCATAATTGGGGTTGTATCGTCAGCTGTGTGTTGTCGGTTGGTCTTTGAATGACTGATGTGCATGCGGTCTGAATGTGTAAGTGAGTGAGTGAATGACTGGCCGACTGACTGGCTGACTGACTGGCTGACTGACTGGCTAACTGACTGGCTAACTGACTGGCTGGCTGACTGACTGGCTAACTGACAGTTTGTCTGACTTACATGTCTTCTGGTTTGATTAGTTGCATATTTACATGCAAGGGTAGGTAGATATGTGTGTGCATGGATAAAAGTAAGCCATTTTTTTCGAGATTTTGGTAGGCACAGGCTTTTATAGTTAGTTGGTTGACCTGTAGATACATCTTTATTCATCTTCATTGAATGTTGAATGAGGGATTAGTCGACACATGTGTACGAGCACCTACTACACCTTTATGCCTCCCAGTGGCTTACAGCGCCAATCTTGCCATTTCTGTGCAAATTTTTGTAGACATTTCTTATGGCCTATCTCTTATTTCAGCTGCTGGATTTGTTGGTTGGCTTGAGTATTTATAATATTATGAATGTGGACCTTTAATAAGGCGAATGGATAAAATTAGAAGTCACTGTATGTAGGTCGATATTTAACTGCGATTCACTTGTTGTTGTTGTTCTTTTTGTATCGTTCGTTAAACCCGCTTAATTTTGATTAAACTGAGTCGCCGAGGTCATCTAGTGGGAGGTTCAAGAAACGAGCTGTTTCGACGGGATCGCACCAAAGGGAGAAGGAGGTTAGATGAGACGGTTTCAGGGGGCATGTGAAGAGGTGGTTTGTGTAGCGCAGAAACTCTCCACATGCAGGGCATACGTTGGGTATGCTGGGGTCGAGTCTGGATAAGTAGAAGTCTGACCTACAGTACCCAGACCTAAATTTTGCCAAGGTCACGCGGGTCTCTCGAGGCAGCTCGAGCTCATTGTATGCAATTGCTGGTGGTTTCATTCTCAAGTCAGTCGATTCTACGTACCGGAGTTGACCCGGATTTTATCTCGCCAAGACCTGCCACGGCGATCTAACCACGTTTAGGTCAACTGGTAACAGCAATTCACTGAATAGTACCCTTTGGTTGAGAAAAAAAACATCAATCAGATCGACGAGCTAATAAATTGATTAAACTACTATGCTGTCTCCGGTTTGAAAATCTCGTTATCAGATAGAATATGTTTTGCTGGACGGACGACATGTCATTAGTTCTTTGGGCCTAACCTCCCAGCAAATATCTGCTGCAATCACAGAAAACATGCAGTCAGGTTTTTACTCGACTTACACCCCTAGTCTCTGAGGACAGCAGTTAACAACTCGGTTTATTGGAACGGAACGGAATGGAATTTCAAGGTAGCTATTTATCACGGTCGAGTAGTTGGATGACCAGAGTTCAGGTCCTGGTTCGACCAACATCAAAAATTAAAAAAAAATATTTTTTCCGCGTGTATTTCTGACATGAAATAAAATCCATCGGTGGGAGAAGCTCGGCCATACATCGCTTCAGCAGCTAGATAGCGCCAACTATATATACGTATGGTGGCTGAAGTAGGCATGTGGGAAGGAAGACAGTTCTACAAAACAAGACCGAAAAGCGATGAGCTTGAGAAGGCGGCTGAACGGGAAGATGCTTTAAAAGTTTTAAAAAAAGATGCAGCGACGTCCAGAAGGTTTCAAGAAGCACCTATAAAGGTAATGTAACGGCTGATGCCCAGTGTATATTTAACTGATGACGCGCTACACTGTACATAACAGCATCGGCATTTGAAAAGTTACTTGACCTACTATCAATCGATATAGCAGTGGAGAGCACTGCAGTGAAATCTGCCATGAAATTGAGGGCCTCAGATTAAGGAGAGAGGACGAAATAGTTCTCATAGCCCGAGCCTTAAAGCTTTTGGAGTACTGCAGTATTTTCCAGGCGTAAATCTTCGCTACAGAGAAAGCTGCTGAAAATTATCAGTAAATATAGCTTGCCAGGCGGCAGTTAAGGGAGGAATCTGACATCGTGTTGCGTCTGAAAATGTTCTTAGAATCAGTAGATAGAGTGGCTAAGGGTTAATGGCTCAGTTCCAGGCCAGAAGAGCCTTCTGGGCGATGAAATCGTGGTGAAGTTGTGCAAAAAGACGGTACAGGAAATAAGAAATTTGGGTGTCAGATCGGCGTGAGATGGAACACATTAGCGACATGCAATACTATGTTGTTGTTGTTGTTTTCACCTCAAAATTATTCCCCAAAGTACTTTTTAAGGGAATGTTGCGGGTGTGAAAGTCCTTGGCCGGATGAAAATCCAGGTCGTTCCGGTATAAGGAACCGACTGTCGCGGGAACTATTGGATTTTAGTCGACCCTTACGACTGGTATGCCCTACCGCGGGTATATTCTTGTGCCCCTAACCCGCAGGGGCACATGCAAAACCATTAAGATCTTGTATTGGAACAGCAAACGATAGAAATATTTCTTGCTTACACGGTCACGTAAACACGGCACAACAGGTTTTGTGCTAATGATCACAACCTACTGGCATCTCATGCAAGCAGAATGAGTACTAATGGCAGTGACACATGTTAGCAGTGCATATAGGAAGGCATCAGTGAGACACTACAACGTCTAATTTATTTCTCTCCGGTCATAGCTAGAGATCGTCTATGATATTACGCCGCTTAGCAGTTGAAAGTACTAAAGACGGCTTAAAAATTTAATATAGAGGCTATCTTGAACTTTGCGAAATTGTTGATGTCTGCCACGACGACTACATCAGATCGTAATAAAATGGACACCGCAAAGAATTAACGAGTACATGCAGGGCGCGCCAGCCGGCTAGTGCAATCTAATCTAACCGATGGTGTAATCATAGCAAGATGAAAAGCTCTTCTCTGTTAGAAGGATCAAAGTGGCAGAATAAGCTCGCGGTGCCTACTTCAGTTAAGAAGAAGAAGATAAAAAGGTTACACACTATGTGGTATTCCCGAAGACTCCGCTTCTTTGTTCTTTTTTGTTAACAAATCGCTTTCGGCTGCTAACCTAATCTCGTGAAATAAGCTCGCTCTCTCTCACTTAACGATTGCTCTTAATTAGACTTCTCATTTGGAGAAGGGATTCTTGCAAAACTATTTGCTTTTAAATAATTGTACAATTACTGTATGTTTACACACACACACAGCAGGAAATTTTGTGTTTGGTCTGCTTAATGTGAAAAGCTCAAATGAATATCCAAATCAATAGATAATAATCGATAGCTCAGTAAATGTAATTCCCTTGGCAGACCTTAAGCAACCATGTAAATAACTTATTCATTGTTTGTGTCCATAACATTAATTCTATATGTACTTATGTAATTTAATCTGATATTTATTTAGGTCAGTTAAAGAGAGACAAATTTACGCATTTTCATATGTGCGTATGCACATATATATATACTATATTTATGTATGAATGACTTTATGTAGGAGGAGTAATGTGAATGGTTTATCTTGAATGAGTACAACCAGTTAATTGCATCGCTAAAGTACATATGTATGTACTTTCGTATACGAAATTGTAAAGGGTGGTTCTTTAGTCATGTGGTTTTCAATGGGACATGAATCTTTTCGCAGTAGGTCTTGTGCTGGCTTGATTTATACTCAGTTTACCATATCCTAGGAAACAGACCTACTCTGGAATAATGTATAAAAATCATTCGATTTTATTACTAAAATATTGGTTCGGTCTATGCGCCATATCATGCGCTGAGTCCAATATTCTGTGGACATAATCGCCCAGACGAGTCGGTAATTCGAACAAGCATAGAACGCATTCTCTCAGAGAGGACGTGCAATGTGTGAGGACGCTGCTGCTATGAGGCAGAGTATCGAAGAAAACCCCAATGAGCCCAACCGCCAACAGGCGCAACCATTGGAGCTATGGCAATCCATATTATGGAAGATTTTGCGGAAGAATTTAAGTGCAAGAATTGAAACCGAGCAACTATCAAGCGCGTCGCACGTTCGGTGAGTGGGCCCAAGTCGATACGGCCAACAATCCCGATATTCAAGAGAAAGCTTTGTTAGACCACTTTTGGTTGAATGGGTGAGTTAATAAACAAAACAGTCGCATTTAAAGTGATAATAATCCACAAGCCATTCCTGAGCTGTGTTTACGTCCTGACAAAATCACTATATAGTTTATTCTATGGACAAAGGGAGTTATTGGTCCATGTTTATTCCGAAATGAACATGAAATAACATTACTTAAAAAAATGTTTGGGTTATGTTAAATCGCTTGTCGGCGAATTTAAGCCCGAGACGATTGAAGCTTTGGAAGGCAATATTCGTTTTCTACAAATAGTGGTCGAAAATTGGACTTCTCGGCTGGAATTTAGTCCCCTAACACCATTTACACGGCCACCACTTACTCGAGATCATTTTTGAAACATAATGGCAAACTCCTATTTATAATTAAGTCAAATACTTGGCAACAACAAGAAATTACATCGGTTTTATTTCTTCTTTAAAACCACATGTCTAAAAAAAACACCCTTTATGTATCTACAAATACTCTGTACTTATGTTTGTGACTGAACGCCTTAATCAATTCAAAAGGAAATTCGTGTATTTGCTCCAGATAATTTAAGAATAGTTAAATTGATAGTCAACAGAGTTGCCACGTATTTTGCCATTATTTACATAACATATTAAGTCATATGTAAGTGTGTCTATGACTCGGCTCAAAATAAAAAAAATGACAGAACCGAGTTTGAAAAGAATATTGTTTGTATTCAAGTGGGCTTAAAGGTAATTGAAATTTACAATTTACAGAGCTACCAACTGTTTTGAAACTCAAATTAAAAAAAAAAATAAA